TCGGCATATGTGGCGTCATACTTTACCTTGTGATAGGGATCTTTGCTCTGGTCATCAGGTATCGTATTGAAGAAATCAAGGGATCACTTAAAATTTCACAAGCACTCAAATCAATCGCTTTATTTTAATCTTATTCGCCCGCCATAAGAACGGTCTAAAGTCCAAAATGTCTAAGCCAGGACGCGCATAGGCAATCCCTCGTCATTTTCAAAGTAGTCTTAAATTTTCAGCAGATAAGTTGCCGGCAATAACCTCGTAATTTTTAACGTAAGTGAGAGGAACTGCCGATAGGTTGCCGGCAACAATCGCAGTGCGCGTCGCTGGTAACCCGAGCTGTTTTCGACTGTGCAGTTGCTTTCGCATGCTATACGTCTCACAGACGTAATTTCTTTTAACATAAGCTTGATGGGATTTGGAATTGTTTAGTTTATTTATTATATCAGAATAAAGGGTGCCACACATCGGGCCCGTATGCGTGACGTGCACGTCATCACGCGCGTAGGGATGACGTTGTATCGTATGAGATAGGCAGTGTGCGGCCTCTCATACAATCGCATCTGATGCTCTACGCACGTGATGACGTCTTAGTCTCGCTTACGGGTCCGGTGTGTAGACCCTTTAGTTTTATGTCTGTGTGACACCACTACGTTGTTACAGTTACTTTTAGCCCAGGTCGTCAGCCGAAGATAAATTTTGAATATCGTTTCCAGAATGCCAATCCAGGCGCCACAATGGACGGACTACCTCAACTGTCCGGTGTGCTGTCGGGAGTTCGGCGCGCCCCCGCGCAGCCCCATCAGCCTCGGCTGCGGGCACACGCTCTGTAGGCACTGCCTCAAGCACCTCCACAGGAAGCAGTGCCCGTTTGACCAGGTAATACCATAGTGTTCCACAATGGACGTTGACCAGATAATACCATAGTGTTCCACAATGGACGTTGACCAGGTAATACCATAGTGTTCCACAATGGACGTTGACCAGATAATACCATAGTGTTCCACAATGGACGTTGACCAGGTAATACCATAGTGTTCCACAATGGACGTTGACCAGGTAATACCATAGTGTTCCACAATGGACGGACTACCTCAACTGTCGGGAGTTACACGCTCTGGAGGCACTGCCTCAAGCACCTCCACAGGAAGCAATGTCCGTTTGACCAGGTAATACCATAGTGTTCCACAATGGACGGACTACCTCAACTGTCGGGAGTTACACGCTCTGCAGGCACTGCCTCAAGCACCTCCACAGGAAGCAGTGTCCGTTTGACCAGGTAATACCCTAGTACTACCCGTTTCACAAAAGGAAGGAAATATAAGGCTCTTACACCAAGCGTCCATGCTTTCTCCCTCCCACTTTATGGAACTGCCGTCATTTGAATTTCCTTTCTTTTGTGAAACGGGTAGTCTTCTTTTCTTTTCGTGTGGGACACCGAGTCGTCCAACGACCCGATGAACCCTGGTAGTAAAACGGGTTGTAATACCCTGGATTTTGATTCAAATGACAGTTATAGAAATCCCTGGTGGGAAGGTATAAAACAAAGTTTGCAGCGAGAATTAGTTTCTTTGCAAAAATACCGGTCGAGTAACAAAAAGGGTAACAAGCCGAAAGGAGGTCAGGGTACTCGAAAAACTGAACAACTTGCCCCATGGCACATAAGTCGAATTATGACAATAGAAATTGGGCTCCCCGTATAATAATAAAAATCAATCATCTGATCGGCGATTTAGTACGGGAGTTCCTTAAGTTTTGTCTATCGGCTTTGTATAACACGAGCTCTTTTATTTCCGCAGACCACAATCCAAGTGGAGTCGGAAGAGATGGTGGTTAACACGGCGCTCCTCCAGCTGGCCGGGTACACGCCGCCAGCGCAGCCCTACCACCCTCCGTGCATCCAGGCGCTACCGGAGTCCGACCGGCTGGCATACGATGCCATCGTGCAGTGCCTGGAGCACCTGGCCGTCTACCTCAAGTTCTGCGGCAATGGTAAGTGTAGAGGCGGAGGCCTACCACCCACCTGCATCCATGCCTTCCGGAGCCCGACCGGCTGGCCTACGACGCCATCGTGCAGTGCCTGGAGCACCTGGCCGTCTACCTCAAGTTCTGCGGCAATGGTGAGTGTCAGAGGCGGAGCCCTACCAGACAACGTGCATCCAGGCGCTACCGGAGCCCGACCGGCTGGCCTACGACGCCATCGTGCAGTGCCTGGAGCACCTGGCCGTCTACCTCAAGTTCTGCGGCAATGGTGAGTGCAGATATAAAGGTACACGTTATGTGTTAAAAACCAAAACCCGACTGCGGTATTCAATTTGTTTATTTCTGAGCAAAATACATTGCGTTGAAAATTACATCACATCAATTACTTATAATAATATTTTACAATAAATAAAGTTAATAATCATTATCAATAAGTCAATCAGTATTTAAACAATTTGATTCTATGATGTCATGGGTAGGTAATTAAATGTCAACATTATACAATAAAAAAATATATGAAATAATCAAAGAAATAATGACATCCTTTCCTTACGTTATGTCTTATTATAACTAATGTACTCTTCCACAGAATAAAAACATTTTTCCAGAAGAAATATTTTAAGTTTTCTTTTAAAGATTGATGCTTTGACAATAGACTTCAATTCCAGGTAATTTTAAAGTAGTACCTATTTTGCTGTAAATATCTGCCATCATGAATCTATATATATTTTTTTAATATAGCCTGTGTCACTCGCGCTGCTGAGACGAATCTAACGACACCTCATATGTCAAAACCAACTATCCGTTTCGGCTGTAGCCCGTGAAAAAGAATTTTCTTGACCACATGCAAACATACATACATACATCCATACCTACATACTCTCGAAAAACATACCTTCCTTCTGAGGCATCATCATCATCCTGCCCTTATCCCAATTACTTGGGCTCGGCGTGTTGAACACAAAATCGTGTTGCAAAGGATTTGGCTTATTTTTACGACCGGCCGCCTACCAGACGTCAACCCTCCTTGGAAATGCTTTTGTGGTGGATTAACCGCCATCATACGGTTGGCCCTGGCTGTTTGGGGTCGGGTTTATCCCTCAGTCGCCTCTTACGACCCCCAGGGTAACAGCAGGGGTGGTGCTATTCTACTCGTTCTGAGGCAGTCGGGTAAAAATGACGATCTCGCATCGGTCCTAGTAAGTGTGGCGACAGTTTTGCGTATTTATTTAGTGTATCTCCTTTCTTCCCTTTTAGCGTGAAATGTCAAGCCCGCTTCTGCGGTACTGCGGTAGGTACCCCAATAATTGGTAGTGGTGCTGGCAGTACAGGTGCCGTAGGTAGCAGGATCAAATTCTGTCTGCGGTGAAAATATTGCAATTTTTCAAAAAGATTATCACGTTTACACAAGCTAATAAAATGTACGTTTACTTTCCAGCAAACAACAGCATGTACGGCTCTCGGTTGTCGCGGCCGATGCAGCGCAAGCTGGTGACGCTGCTGCAGTGCGCGCTGACGGACGAGGAGGGGCGGGGAAGGGCGGCGCGGGCGGCGAGGTCGCTGGGGGAGCGCACCGTCACAGAGCTCATCCTGCACCACCAGGTGAGTGACGCGTGTCAGAGTGGTGACGCTGCTGCAGTGCGCGCTGACGGACGAGGAGGGGGGGGAGCGCACCGTCACAGAGCTCATCCTGCACCACCAGGTGAGTGACGCGTGTCAGAGTGGTGACGCTGCTGCAGTGCGCGCTGACGGACGAGGAGGGGGGGGAGCGCACCGTCACAGAGCTCATCCTGCACCACCAGGTGAGTGACGCGTGTCAGAGTGGTGACGCTGCTGCAGTGCGCGCTGACGGACGAGGCGGGGGAGCGCACCGTCACAGAGCTCATCCTGCACCACCAGGTGAGTGACGCGTGTCAGAGTGGTGACGCTGCTGCAGTGCGCGCTGACGGACGAGGAGGGGGGGGAGCGCACCGTCACAGAGCTCATCCTGCACCACCAGGTGAGTGACGCGTGTCAGAGTGGTGACGCTGCTGCAGTGCGCGCTGACGGACGAGGAGGGGGAGCGCACCGTCACAGAGCTCATCCTGCACCACCAGGTGAGTGACGCGTGTCAGAGTGGTGACGGCTACAGTGCGCGCTGACGGACGAGGAGGGGCGGGGAAGGGCGGCGCGGGCGGCGAGGTCGCTGGGGGAGCGCACCGTCACAGAGCTCATCCTGCACCACCAGGTGAGTGACGCGTGTCAGAGTGGTGACGCTGCTACAGTGCGCGCTGACGGACGAGGAGGGGAGCGCACCGTCACAGTTCTCATCCTGCACCACCAGGTGAGTGACGCGTGTCAGAGTGGGGACACTGCTACAGTGCGCGCTGACGGACGAGGAGGGGGAGCGCACCGTCACAGAGCTCATCCTGCACCACCAGGTGAGTGACGCGTGTCAGAGTGGTGACGCTGCTGCAGTGCGCGCTGACGGACGAGGAGGGGGGGGAGCGCACCGTCACAGAGCTCATCCTGCACCACCAGGTGAGTGACGCGTGTCAGAGTGGTGACGCTGCTGCAGTGCGCGCTGACGGACGAGGAGGGGGGGGAGCGCACCGTCACAGAGCTCATCCTGCACCACCAGGTCAGTACTGCTTGATTCATAGAAGAAGAGGACCCGAAATGGTTGTATTATTGTAGACATCTTGCTCAAATGACATGAATATGAAAAAAGCGCAAACAATAATGTTACCATTTCGTGTCCCTTTCTTCTATGAATCAGGTTATAGTAATACGTGTCACAGTGGTGACGCTGCTGCAGTGCGCTCTTTAGTTATGTGTTGCGAACATGCCTTGAAACAAGTTATGCACTGCAAAATTTGTTCTAGATTATATGTATAAAAAAACTGTACTTATGCATTCGCAGGCCAATATTCACATCGGTTTTCTTGCGGGCAGGATTTGATTCTGCGTCTTAACCTTCTGGCATCGTACTCCAAGCGTTTGAGGCCAAGATACGCTTGCTTAATTTCGAAGGCTAAGATTGAGTCGCGCTTGCCTAGATGATAAAGGCGTCGTCAGTGAAGATGACAAAAGTTGCAGGTTCAAATCCTGCCTGCGATGTAAAATTATTATGCAAGTTTTCTAGAAACAAACACACGACCCTTAAAAATATGGTCGCTTTCACAAATATTTCAAGACCGTTTCAGAAAATACTTGACTGTATCACTTAAGTGGCAGGTTTTCAGTCTGTTGCTTAAAATTGCAATAGGCATGAAATCCAATGTCCAATGGACGCCTTTTACGTAACCAGTAGGAAATAAATGGGGTGATACGATTCTTGTACAATATTTTTCACATTTTTAGTGTAATTTTCACTTGTTTTGTTTATAAAGGTAGTAACAGAAAGAGTGTAACAAGCGGAAAGGAGGTCAAAATACTCATGAAACTGAACAACTTTCCCCATGGAACAAGGTTGTAAAACGAAAAACATATTTGGATCTCCCATACAAAATCGCCGATCAGCTGATTGATTTTCTATGGGATGTCCATTTTTTTTCATATTTCGACCCATGTCCAGTTGTTTAGAAAAAGAAAGTTGTTCAGTTTCTTGAGTACCTTAAGCTTTTGGCTTTTGGCTTGTTATACCCTTTTTGTTACTCCCGGTATATGTCACCGTAAAATTACAAACAATGGTGGATTATAATCTATCTCACACGTACTACAATTTACGTATAATTTTTCAGTAGATTACAATATAACGAAATAAAACCGTAAAACTGTGATACGCTACGCAGCTCGCGTTCTGATTCGTCAAGTCAAGAATCATATTGCCAACGACGCCATGTTTGTTTCACAGCTAATTGCCATTTCGTTGGTTTTCGAACATAAACAATTAGAATTTTCTTCCTTTTTTATAATTTCGTATTGGAAATTTCTTATATAAACTTACGAAATTAGAAAATGATCACTTAAGCACTGTTTTCTTACATTTCATACTTGTTCGATGCCCATCGAAATTGGGATCAGCTATGAAATAAACATGGCGGCGCGTTAAACATGACTTTCAACCAATCAGAACGCGAGTTGACAACTTTACCGTTTTAGTTCATATTATTTTAATCTTTTCAAAATCAATACGTTAAATTGTGATTCTTGTGTATATCTTACAATATTTCGACGGATTGTAGTGTAGAAATATACTCCCCATCAAAAAAATCGAGACACTTTCGTTTTCATAGTTGAACAAAATCTTAAATATATAGAATAAAGAACGTTGATATTATGATTTAGAAACCTCGTAACATTCACTATTAAACGACATCAGATATTGATTCCAAAATAAACATATGTCTCGGATAATGTGATCTGTACAAAACGTAAAGTTGCAAAGCGTCTCGATATTTCTGATGGGAAGTGTATTATAATCTAGCGGTGTTTGCAATTTCACGGTTACATAATACACATCTAAATAATAGTACAGGCGCCCGCGCGCCGTTTTCCTAATTTGTGATAGTACCCCATGTAAATATTTATTTTTTAAGGCTAGCTAGGCTCTAAAGGAGAAATAAAACAATAATATAGTATCCAGCTGGATTTATATTCGATTAAAATCATGACATACTGGATAATTAAAAATTATTAAACGGGTAATTATTGGTTATGTTATGTGATACTTGAATCATTAATTCTTGTATGGCATCAAAGTTATGAATAACTTGATATTTTATTGCGATTCGCGTTTGTTGCGGTTGCGACGGCTGCGCTTTCTAGTTTCCACAAGCAAAAAGCCTTTTTCGTCAGAATCCGGAGCTGCGGACTCTGCTGTATCCGCGTCATCAGTTTTAGTAGTCGTAGTGTCAGTTGTCTCAGCTGCTTCTTCAGTTTTCATTGTAGTGACATCGGTTTGTGTAGCGGCATCGTTCCCCGTAGTCACGTCTTCGGTTTTCGAAGTCACATCGACTGTCGTCGACACCACGTTAGTTTTTGTAGTGGTAACATCAGTTTTAGTCGTAGCATCGATCTGCATAGTTACGTCCGTTTTCTTAGTGGCGAATTCGTCTTTCGTAGTCACATTGGTCTTCTTAGTAACGACATCGTTTTTTGTTTTCACGACACCGTTGTCCGTAGTCATATAGGTTTGTGTAGTAACAACATCCGTTTTGGTGGTCACGACGTTAGTTTTCGTAGTAACGACATCAGGTTTCGTAGTTACGATTTCAGTTTTCATAGTCACAATATCCGTTTTCGTAGTCACCACAACGGTTACCGTAGCAATGACGTCGGGTTTAGGAGCCGCGAAATCGGTGACGGGTGGCGTTGGCTGCCGCTGGCATCGGTGCTGTCGCGGCAACTCCTTTCGTTTCAGAGGTGTAAAAGCAGTATTTTCGGCCACAGCTCCGGTATTCCGCCCAAGAATGGGTCGCAGAGGCGGCATTGCTCTCCAATTGGTTATCGAGCTCACATTTGGCTTCACGCTGCGTACGGCAGACGCATACCCCGTCCTGGTATTAGGCTTTCGCAGAGAGGTCAACTCCTCTTCCAACTTACCACCGCCTTGCTCTGAAACCTCAAACGTTTCTTCAATTTTCACGCCGCTGGTTATATCTTCATACAATGAAGCGATGACAGAGTGCTCACGACGCTTCGTTGCTTGCTCCATAGTTGTGAAAAAAAGAAATTCGGACGCTTTTTAGTCCACGTCCGACTATATCGGCGGTGTGATTTTAACTACGTTGGAAAAGTGTTCAGAAAGCTGTACTTATTTATAACAAACATAAAAAATGGCGGATGAACGTGACAAACTCGCAAAAACAGTCCGAAGTTACTCTTAACTTTTACAGGTTTCACCCTTTGCGTATTTATAAAATTTGTACTTTTATTCATCATATGGCTTCTTGTTTATTAAGGTCAACAAGCACCTAGCGTAAGAGCAAGCGCACATTTTTGAATAAACCGTGCATGACAAGATTATTCTTGCTCTAAGTTAATTCGATCGCGTTTGTGAAGAACAATCAAAATACCAGCCGTTCATAATAGATTTGTAGAAAGAAGGTAGACAAAATACAGTAGTTGAGACAGAAATAAGAGTTTAAAAAAATAATCTTATCGGATCTTGTCTTAGTTGAGACTCTTATTTCAACTTATCAGCAAATTTTTATTTAATTAAAGAACATTATTTTTGTTCTGAGCTTAATGTAGATGTGGATGGGCAGAGAATTGCATATGTTGATGAGTACATACTTACCTTACTATGGCGTTCAAACTTGGTCTCTAACTGACATCCATAAGTCCAAACTCAAGGTCTGCCAACGAAGCATGGAGCGCAGCTTACACGGGGTCAGGTCGAATGACCGAGTCAGAAACACGACGCTGCGCTTCCGCAGTCGACTTAGGTCAGAAGGCAGAATGCCTGCTACTCTATGGGCAAAAATAACAACTATTTGGGTCCCTCCTAAAGCAAAACGGGCACGCGGTCGTCCACGATAAAGGTGAAAAGACGAATTACATATCTACGCTCAAAACTGGATAGAGGCGTCCTAATATAGGAAAAAGTGGAAGAAGGAGAGGGAGGCCTTTGCCCTGCAGTGGGACATGTCTGACTAAAAATAATAAAAATAATAACAATAATAACATTACATAAATTGAAAATGAGAAAAAAAAATTCTCGAAGCGACTTCTAATCTAGTAGCAACATACCTATATGACATTTTCTTTTCAAGGTAAGATAGCGCGTCATTGGACGCCAGTTGTGCGCTGACCCTTAGCTAGGGTTGCGAAAACAACTGCGAATTAGTTCGTTTCTATTGTGCCCTCATCAAAAATAGACCTTTATCGCGTAAGCACTGTGACCGCAAATATCTTATAAATAACTGCTTTAGATATTTTTCTTCAGTCGTTTGCTAAAGGGTACCTGACTAACACGTTAAATAGGCTATTTGGTAAATATGAAAATATTGTAATGTGATATTGTATTCATCTATTTACGATGGTGTCCAAGCTATAACTATTATATTAGCGCCTGTAGATCAGTTGGCAGAGTAGTAGGACGGTACTCTACGGTCCTGGGTTTCAGTCCCGGCCGATTTTCAAGTTTCTCATTTTCATATAACTTTTCCGTTTAAGTACATACCTAATTTGAAAAAAAAAACATTAAAGAATCAGCGCATAAAATATTAGTACTTAGTCCCAGCAGTAGGCCTAAAAAGAGATGGCGCGATGATCTCGCCGACTTAGAGCCTAACTGGCCTCAATCGGGAAGTCTGGAAGAAGAGAGGGGAGGATTTTGCCCAGCAGCGGGACACTAGGCTAAAGAATAATAATAATATTATTAAATGTAACCTTATCTGTATGTATGAATACCCAATTGACATTTACTGTTCTTCCCTACAGAATCCTCAGCAGTTGAGCGCCAACCTATGGGCGGCGGTGCGCGCGCGAGGCTGTCAGTTCCTGGGACCAGCCATGCAGGAGGAGGTCCTCAAGCTGGTACTCCTGGCGCTGGAAGACGGCTCGGCGCTCTCCAGGAAGGTGAGTGCTTCGGAGGGCACGGTGATATGAATGCTCAAGCTCCAGAGATAAAAACCTTGTCTCGTATAACTTGCGCAGATAAAGAATAGATTCCAAATTGGAAATATTATTGTTTGCCTCTCTTTCATAATTATATGACATATGACATAGGGAATATGTTTGCATGTTTTTGACTCTAGGGATTTCTCTCAATAGGTCTACCTATTCAAATACAGTCAGCAGTGGCGGATTAAGACCATTTGATGCCCTAGGAAATCCACGCCTTGGTGCCCCTCTTTCCGTAGAATTAACATAATATCGGAACGAAACATGTTTTTTTTACGTTAGGTAGATAGTAATTATTCATCGCGAGCGAAGCGAACTCACCTTTTCATGCTATAAACGGGCGAGCAGCGTAAAAACTAGCCGTGACGCGACTATAAACCAGACAGAAACGCACATGTATCGCGAGCGAAGCGAGCTCGACTTTTCATGGTATAAATGGGCGAGCAGTCAAAACACTAGCCACGACTGTAAACCAGACAGAAACGCACAAGCATCGCGAGCGAAGCGAGCTTGACTTTTCATGGTATAAACGAGCGAGCAGCCTTAAC